GTTGGACTAATGGAAATATCACTTCCACAATCATCTTCGGATTCATTCTTTTCGTTGTAAACACATAGACAGCTACAGCGATCTTTGCATTTCGAGTCCATAACTAGTTTGTGATTCTTCCTCTTACTTATCCATTTCCATATCCCTTTCAACCATTGAATAAAGCGGTTCATTAATGAATGGGATCAAGGAACTACGGAAACCAGCAAAACGAAGAGGTGCCACTCGAATGATCATTAGTGGACTCAAGAGAAACATATACTTCATCGATCTCATCGATTTCTCTTCCAAACAAGACAAATGGATACAGGGAGTATTAGGATCACAAAAGAGTACTGGATTCCATAAGAATCGTGGATACAAATATGTCCTTGTATGTATTGATGGATATTCGAAATACCTGATGACTCGGAAACTGAAGAGCAAGAGTGCTACAGAAGTCACTCATGCGATGAAGGATATCATTCAGACTTATGGTGAATCACCAAAGCATATTTGCTCGGATCGAGGTACCGAATTCGCCAATACGATCTTTCGTACCAACATCTTGAACAAGTATGACATCACCATGTATCACATGGATTCAGCGAATAAGGCAATACTAGCTGAACGAGCAATTTGAGATATCAAGGAACACATCATGGTTCCTTCATTCCATTCAATCAATCAATGGAAAGGTGTATGGTTCGACTTGATCGATGGCGCAGTTCGTCGACACAATGCAAGGAAGAACAGAGACATCGGATATATACCAATGACATTTGGCTTAACAACAACAACAACATCTTGTACATGGAGAAAACATCCAACATGACAGCAAAGGACACAACACGTCAATTCGATGTTGGTGATTATGTTGGAGTGACATGAAGACCTCGCATTCTGGAAAAGCGATCACTGACGAGCAAATGGTCTCAGGACTTGATTGAAGTGGTTGATATTGACGATCGGTTCATGCCATTGATGTATGAAGTGAGAGGGGTTAGGGTTAGAGTAAACAAACAAACAAACTAACAAACAAACAATTCATTGACCTGCAGGAGATCTTGAGCGGGTTGTTCACCGTCTAGACCTTCAATACCTTACAGCCTTAGACTTCTTCCCACTAGCCTACCTCTGGGGTTTGCTTGCTATCCCTTTATGCCACATATCATACAGAGTGAGCCGTTCACAGTAAGTCCTTTGTAAGAATCTTGCTACTTCCTCACAACCAACCAGCTCACCTTCCTCACCAAAAGACTATTTATAACCAATACATGGTGACTGGTGTGTATCACAATCCTTTCTTCCTTCCCAAGGCTCTCCCAACCATGTTATTTCACAGATGAGGTACACACAGAGCCAAAACCATTTCTCATCGAACCCTTAACAATATCTCTCCAGTCCGCACAATAAATTCTTTGAATCACCCTCCGTCCCAAGGATCCTCTTGGAATAACACTGCAATCACCAAAGCCACGTAGCGAGACTCTCAAATCCACCGGGTCCTTACACTTCAAAATCGAGAGAAATTGGTTATCCACAGCGATGTGAGTAGAAACGACACGCGTCACCAGAATCCGCAGTCGAAAACGTCGAATTAGCAGTCATCAAAACAGTCGTAGAAACAATGCAAGTACCTTTATCTCCCTTTCTCTCTGTCTGTGATTTCTTCTCCGATGCCTTGGCTTCTAGCTCAGCCTTCTTCATTCTCGCCTCTTTCTTCTTGCTTCTTACTTCTTCTTTCTTGGCTTCCAGAATTGGTTTCAGCTTCTTGTACTCTTCTCTAGCCACTCTCATTCATTCTATATGATACTCTACCCCACCTCCTTCTCTCTGTCTTTGATGGCGTAAACAACAGCGCCAGATCCTCTATAGACTCCTTCATTCTTTCCTTCCTTGCTTCCTTCCTTCTAGAAGATGCTTCCACGTCAGCGTGTGTGGTATCATATCTCTTCCAAAAGTGGACATTTCCAACGAATTCCAGTACTCTCATCGCATCCTACAACTCTCTCACCCATTTCCTCTCTCTTCCCAAAGATAAGACATAGCAGATAAATCGGTGTTCAATTTCCCAGATGGGAAGACAAATATACTGTCGGATCGAATTGGGCTCAATTTACTACAAATCCATCCCTCATCCACCAAATCAAGTGGCGTATCCAAATTCGCATTCTTATCCGACATTTCAGAATGAACCTTCTTATACGGCTGGATATTCTTCTGTTGGACCGTATTCGTCCTCTCTGATTAATCGTACTCACGCTTCCTCTCCTAATCACTACACAAAACCTTCAAGTCATCTTTGTCACCGCTGACTATCTTTTCCATACTATCTTCACTCATATATTCACTATTCATCGTCTTCTTCCCACTCATACTTAAGCTGGCTTCATTCTTATTTGCACGATTCTTCTTTCACAGCCGCTTCAATACTATACATTCCTGTCGAATTTGAGTTTCCCAATGTCTTCTTTGCATTCTCTTTCTTATTTCCTCTACACCACGGAAAGTTGAAAAAATCGAAAAATCGTTTACTACACATAGGGAGAATCAACATTTTGCTCCGAACAACTTACCATCAATATACTGCTCTCGCTCTACTTCTTCTTCTTCTTCTTCTTCTTCATTTCTGCCTTTATTGGGATTATCTCAGGCTGTTTTCTCTCACTGTCCTCTCTCAACTTCTTACAAGAGCCCTTCCATTCTTCTTCTCTCTGTATCTGCACAACTTCTTCTTTTAACCGATTTTCTTCAGTACTTTCAACCGGTTCTTTCACAGACACCTCCACCGAACTCTTCGTTGACGTCCTTCGGCTCTTCACTAACCTCTCATTCTTCCTAAGCTGCGGAAAACCAGTCTTCCTTGTGGATACACTTCATCAAGAATCGTATACTTCTTCTCCAAGTACAATCAATATTCAACTCGTCTTGTCACGTGCTCTTGGAGGCGTTTCAACACCATCAATACAAGTATTTCGGGTGTTATCATTTCACTCAACAATAACGAACTCCCACACCTGATTAACTAATCCAATCAATTCAATTCAATTCAATTCAATTCAATTCAATTCAATTCATGATATTTGTTGTGTGAAATACTAGTACTTTGTGTGAAGTGAAAGTAATGAGATTCCAGGCATGTTAGGAGGCCATGAATACTCGATATCTCCATGGATTGTTGTCTTTGTGGATTGGTTCGTAGTCCTCTATCTAGATTCTTGACACTCTCCATATACCCTTCCTTCGATCCTTCTCTTGGTGTGCTGTAACTCAACACTTCTCTTAGGCACGCCGAGAGCATATGAAATGAATAACGGAGACAGTTTGGAAACAAGTATCTCCAAATCGATCTCTACTATTTTCTGCGTATTGTACACAACGAGTACAATGTTTCCATAAATAGAATTCTTGGAAAAGTACAGA